GTTCAATTTTACCGTCATTCTGTGTTCAGTTGCACTGTTTAGCCAAACGCTTGTTCGTAGAGCCAGGTCTTGACCTTCTTCCAAAACGCCAGCAGCGAAGGGGCCTGTCTGATGTCTACAGGTAGGGCATTCCATAGCCGAGGGGCCACCACCGAGAAGGCCCTGTCCCTTGTCCCCGCCAACCGCGCCTGTGACGCAGGCGGGACCGAGAGCAGGGCCTCTCCGGATGATCTTAATGTCCTAGTCGGTTCATAGGTAGAGATGCGTTCGAAAACATGCAAAATGTGAGTAGATCAATAGGTACCACTCCGGCTGGAAGGTAACGGCGCTCCATGCAGTCATGCTGGCCATATGACCATGTATTTGTCTTATTTATGTTTTTAATGCATATGTGTTATGTGTTGTCAAAGGCTTTCATGGCCAGAATCACTGCGTTGTTCTGAGTTTTCTGGGCCATCTGCTCCAGAAGCATTTTCTCCTGACGTTTTGCCCACATCTATGGCAGTCATCCTCAGGAGCCTCCGGTGGTGCAGTGGGTTAAAGCGCTGAGCTGCTGAACTTGCTGATCGAAAGGTCGCAGGTTTGAATCTGGGGTGCCGGGTGAGCTCCCGCTGTTAGCCCCAGCTTCTGCCAACCTAGCAGTTCGAAAACATGCAAATGTGAGTAGATCAATAAGTACCACTCCAGTGGGAAGGTAACGGTGCTCCATGCAGTCATGCTGGCCACATGACCTTGGAGGTGTCTATGGACAACGCCAGCTCTACAGCTTAGAAATGGAGATGAGCACCACACCCCAGAGTTGGACACAACTGGACTTCATGTCAGGGGAAATCCCATCCTCAGAGGTTGCAAGGTCTGTTGGAAATTGGGCAAGTGAGACTCCTCCAGGCAGGAAGCAGCCAGACTTTTGAAGCTGCAAAGCCATTAAGTGCTAATCAAGGTGGCCAACTGCAACATTCAGACTTGCCTCCAACAGACAAGAGTTCTTTCTCCCATCCTGGACATTCCACAGATATATGAGCCCCACTTGCTTAGTTTCCAACAGACCTCACATCCTCTAAGGATGCATGCCATAGATGTGGGCGAAACGTCAGGAGAAAATGCTTCTGGAGCATGGCCAGACAGCCCAGAATACTCACAGCAATCCGTAAGTGTTATCCTTCCTTTGCTTCTTGCAATTTAATTTTTGCAGGACTAAAACATCTCAGTGCAACTGCTGAAAGATTAAAAACTAGACAAATATTGAAAGACAAAACTTGGACAAATAGTGTAAGAATAAACTAGGCAAATATTTAAAGATACTCACAGCTCCAGCAGATAAGGAGGTGGGAATATGCTCCTTCCTGAGAGTGAGGAGGAGTCTCCTTCCTTCTCTGGAGGTTTTTAAAACAGAGGTTGGATGGCCATCTGTCAGGAGGGCTTTGATGGTATCTTCTTGCAAACCAGTGATTGGACTGGATATTGGGCTTGCAGCCTCCTCTATGATGATATATATCTACTAGCTGTCCCCTGCCAGGTGTTGCTGTGGCCCAGTCTGGTGATCTGGAAAATAAAGTAATGAGAAAAGGTTGGCTTCTAATATATCTAATTTCTTTATAATTGTGGGTAAACAGTATTTCTTGTTGTTTCTTTGTCAGTGTTGATGTGGAGATTGTCTGGTTTGCCTGCTCTGGAACATGCAACATATCATTGTCCTTATTTAGGGGTCCCTTTCAAATCGATTATATTATATCTGTGTGTGTGTGAATCATATCTATCTATCTATATCTATGGCTGGATGGCTCTTTATCAGGAGAGCTTTGGTTATGTTTTCCTGTCCTAGTGAAGGGAGTTTGACTGTCTGGCCTGAAGGCAGCATTTCTCAACCTGGGGGTCAGAACCCCTGGGGGGGTCGCGAGAGGGTGTTGGAAGGATCGCTAAAGACCACCAGAAAAAACAGTGTTTTCTGTTGATCATGGGGGTTCTGTGTGGGAAGTTTGGCCCAATTCTGTCATTGGTGGGGTTCAGAATGCTCTTTGATTGTAGGTGAACTATAAATCCCAGTAACTGCAACTCCCAAATGTCAAGGCCTATTTCCCCCAAACTCCATCTGTGTTCATATTTGGGCATATGGAGTATTCATGCCAAGTTTGGTCTAGATCCTTCATTGTTTGAGTCCACAGTGCTCTCTGGATGTAGGTGAACTACAGTTCAAAAACTCAAGGTCAATGCCCACCAAACCCTTCCAGTGTTTTCTGTTGGTCATGGGAGTCCTGTGTGCCAAGTTGGTGGAGTTCAGAATGCTCTTTGATTGTATGTGAACTATAAATCCCAGCAACTACAACTCCCAAATGTCAAGATTCTTTTCCCCCCAAACTCCACCAGTGTTCATATTTGGGCAGACTGAGTCTTTGTGTAGAGTTTGGTCCAGATCCATCATTGTTTGAGTCCACAGTGATCTCTGGATGTAGGTGAACTACAACTCCAAAACCAAAGGACACTGCCCACCAAACCCTTCCAGTATTTTCTGTTGGTCATGGGAGAACTGTGTGCCAAGTTGGATTCAATTCCATTGTTGTGGGGGTTCAGAATGCCCTTTGATTGTAGGTGAGCTATAAATACCAGCAGCTACAACTCCCAAATGACAAAATCAATTTTTTTTAGTGAAGGACATACATTGGGTTGTTAGGTGTCTTGTGTCCAAATTTGGTGTCAATTCGTCCAGTGGTTTTTGAGTTCTGTTAATCCCACAAACTAACATTGCATTTGTATTTATATAGATGATTGAAGGCAGCAGTTCTTCGTGGAATGGGATATGATGGGACTGCAATGGTTAACGGATGCTCTAAAAAATGGACTTGGCCATACCAGAAATAGTTCTCAGTGTTTATGAACTTAAAATTTAATGGCACAAAACCCCCCACTAAGAGTCTCCTATAATAACTGGGAAGAGCTGGTTTCAAGAACTAGTCCAACCCAATTGAGAATTTACGGGACAAACTTGGACCCATCGCATCCTTTGTGCGTCAGGAACAAGTTCGACCAGATTTATTTTTTTTTAGAAAACAGTGATAAGGAATAGCACGGAGATATCTTGATGTTTTTAAAAAATGGAATATGTAGTTTTCATCAGGGGAGTTATAATCTGTCAAGAGTTTTTCTGGTTTCAGGCCTGGCAATGGGATAGAGACAGCGTTGGTTGCCTTGGTGGATGATCCACAAACAGAGCTAGATAGCAGGAGTGTCTCCTTGCTCATACTCCTGGACCTCTCAGTGGCGTTCAATACCATTGACCATGGTGTCCCCCTGGATCATCTCTCTGGGATGGGTCTTGGGGGCACTGCTCTGCAGTGGCTCTTCTCCTTCCTGTGGAGTGGAATTCCAGACAAGAAACAATCGGACCAGCTAATCACCTCCCAACAAAGGATTCTCCCAGGCAGGAGGCAGCCAAGCCTTGAAGCTGCAAGGCTTTTCAGTGTTAATAAATTGCAGCATTCACACTTGCATCAAACACGCAAAAGTTCTTTCTCCCACCCTGGACTTCATTCCACAGATATATAAACTGCTTTGAGTCCCGCTCGGGGTGAGAAAAGCAGTATATAAATGCTGTAAATAAATAAATAAATGATAATAGTCCTCACTTGGCTTGTTTCCAACAGAGCTCACAGCCTCTGAGGATGCCTGCCACAGGTGTAAAGAAATGTCAGGAAAAAATGCTTCTGGAACATGGACATACAGCCCGGAAAACTCACAGCAACCCAATGATTCTAGCCATGAAAGCCTTCGACAACACATTAACATTATTGCCATTAGAATATTATTACTAGTGCTATTACATTATTATTATTATTATTATTATTTATTACACTATTAGTATTACAATAATAGCATAACATTTTTAAATAGTATAACATTACTGTTACTGTAATATTATATTATGCTTATTGCATTTCAAGAGTATATTACATTATTTTTATTATATTACTTTTCCTTTCATTACATTATTATGTTTTATTATTATATTTTATTATTATACTACATTATTTTATTACATTATTTTTCTTCTTATATTACATTATTTTACATTATTTTTATTATATTACATTATTCTATTACATTACTTATATTATTCAATTCCGTTATTTTTATTATTATGGTCTTCTTCTTCTTCTTCTTCTTCTTATCATCATCTTATTATTATAATATATTATATATTATTATTACACTATTAGTATTACAATAATAGTCTAACATTATTTGTAATAGTATAAAATTACTATTACTGTAATATATAATGCATATTGCATTTCATTAATATATTACATTATTTTACATTATTTTTATTATATTACATTATTCTATTACATTACTTATATTATTCGATTCCATTATTTTTATTATATTACTTATCATTATATTATGTTATATTATTATTATATTTTATTATTATGCTACATTATTTTATTACATTGTTTTTCTTATTATATTACATTATTTTACATTATTTTTATTATATTATTCTATTACGTTACTTATATTATTAAATTCCATTATTTTTGTTATGGTATTCATATTTTTATCATAATCATAATCTTCTTCTTTGTCTTCTTCCTGCCCACTCCTCTGGTCAAGCCTACAATGTTTCAAAGTGGCTTCTTGCTCTTCAGTGCTTGCAAGGCCTGATCTTGGGAGCTAAGTGGGGTCAGCCATGGATAGCATTGGGATGAGTGCCAGGAATTGTGGCAAAGCCTTTCCCCTGGATTGCAGAGGCTGCCCAGAGTCCTTGCATTCATTCGACTGCCTGGGCTTAATGTGATTAGATCCTGGGAGGTGCAGTTTTACGAGGCCTTAAGTCTACTCTGCCAAAGACTGCAAAAACAACTCCCAGATCCCATAGCATTGATCTATGGCCGTGAAAGGGCCATAGATGCATCCCCAGGTGGGCATTCTTCCTTTGGTGGGTGTGGCCTCATCATCCTTCTCTGCTCATTCATCTTTTAGCTGCCCATCCATTGGCTGGCTCAACTCTCTATCCTCCTCTGTCCATTCATTGGCTGGCCTGGCAGGGTGGGCGTGGCCTCTGCCTCTTTATAAGCCCAACTGTTCCACGCCTCTGCCCATTCTGCTACAGCCCAGCCATGGCACAGGTGAGCTTCCTGGCAGGTGCCCTCGCCTTCCTGCTCCTGGTGGTGCCCCCAGTGGTGCCCGATGAGGACACCGCAGCAGAGGTCCCCCGAGTGGAAATGCCCATCTCCAACCCTGAGGTCCAGAAGGCCGTGGCCTTGGCTGTCAAGTCCTTCAACACGCAGAGCGCCAGCAAGTATTATTTCAAGCGACTTGACGTCCTGAGTGCGGAGAGCCAGGTAAGGGCATTTGGGTCCATTTATCGGATTTTCCACCCTTTCACTCTCCAAAAGAACTCATTTTCCCAGTTAATCAATAGACATTGGAATCAATAGGGAGTCTAGACTCATAGCATCATAAAGTTGGAAGAGACCACATGGGTCATCTAGGCCAACCCCCTGCCATGCAGAAAAAAGCACAAAGTACACCCCGACAGAGGGCCATCCAGCCTCTGTTTAAAAGCCTCCAAGGAAGGAGCTTATTTCGCGTATTTCTACCCCGCCCTTCTCAACCCCCGAGGGGGGACTCAGGGCGGCTTACAAAGGCACAATTTGATGCCAGCATAAACATAATAATGGATAAAACATGTAAACAGCAATTATAACAATTAAGACAGTCAGTTTATACATCAATAAAAACAATCTAATACTCAGTGTTCGCCATCTCAGAGTCCGTAATTCATTCCACATTGTCAGATACTATCAATTCTGGTCATCATTGTCCTTATCTAACCGCCAGATTGCCCGAAAGCCTGGTCCCACAACCATGTTTTTAATTTCCTTCTGAAAGAGAGGGGGGATGTCGATGACCTAATTTCCCCGGGGAGTGAATTCCACAGGTGAGGGGCCACCACCGAGAAGGCCCTGCTCCTTGTCCCCACCAACCTCACTTGTGATAGAAGTGGGGTCGAGAGCAGGGCCTCCCCAGAAGATCTCAAACTCTGGGGTGGGGCGTAGAGGGAGATGCGTTCGGACAGATACGCTGGGCCGGACCCATATAGGGTTTTGTAGGTCAAGACCAGCACTTTGAATTGTGCTTGGAACTGGATCGGCAGCCAGTGGAGCTGACACAACAGAGGGGTGGTATGCTCCCTGTATGACGCTCTCCCAGATCCCAGATTCCATTGGACTCCGAGGCAGAGAGTTCCACTGCTGGACAGCTCTTCTTGAAGTCAGAAGTTTTTCCTCATGTTCAGATGGAGCCTCATTTCTTAGTTTCCTAGTCCTAGTTTCCAGGGCAGTAGAAAACAAGCCTGCTCCCTCTTCCTTATGATGTCCTTTCCAATATGAATAGACTCAGAAGCGGAGTGGGCAGATCAAAAGACATCCTGGCAAAATGGCACTACCTAAAAGAATCTCATACCTTGTGTGACTGTGGAGTAGAACAGACAACTCTGCATCTGTATGCTTGTCCACTATGCCCTGCCTCATGTACAGAGGAGGAATTGTTGGAGGCTACAGACAATTTAATATGTAATTATGGAGATCTGCCCACTTGCTTATCAGAAATGTCCTTACAGGATTGAGTGCACAATAGATCTAGATCAGTGTTTCTCAGTGGAGCCCCCAGTGGCACAATGGGTTAAACCCCTGTGCCGATAGGACTGCTGACCAACAGGTCAGCGGTTTGAATCTGGGGAGAGCATTGATGACCTCCCATCTGTCAGCTCTAGCTCCCCATGTGGAGACATGAGATAAGCTTGCCACAAGGATGGTGAAACATGAAAACATCCGAGTGTCCCCTGGGCAACGTCCTTGTGGACGGCCAGTTCTCTCACACCAAAAGCGACTTGCAGTTTCTCAAGTCGCTCCTGACACGAAAAACCAAAGAAGTGTTTCTCAAACTATGCATCTTCAGATGTTTTGGACTTCAGCTCCCACAATTCCTAACAGCAGAGATTCCTGGGAGCTGAAGTCTAAAACACCTGGAGGAGCACAATTTGAGAAACACTGATATAGATAGATACAATTTTTCTTCCGTTTTAAGACACTATCAATTGTAAGATGGCACACTAATTTCAGTACCACCAACAGAAACACACACACACAACACACACACACATATTATATAGCACTTGTGATTCTAAGATGCACCCCATTTTGTATGGGGGGAGAGTGTGTCTCAGGCCCCTTCTTCTGTTAAATAACCCAGTTCAAAGCAGATAATGTGGATTTCATGTGACAGTGTAGAAGGTGCCTTAGAATCAAAGAAATACAGTATATACTGTGGATAGATATGGATCTAACTATAGATCTAGATCAGGCATGGGCAAACTTTGGCTCGTCCTCCAGGAGATTTGGACTTCAACTCCCACAATTTCTTACAGTCTATCAGCTGTTAGGAATTGTGGATGTTGAAGTCCAAAACATCTGAAGGGCCAAAGTTTTCCCCGGCCTAATCTAAATACATAGACATAGACAGATAGGATAGGATAGATATATAGCAGTGGTTCCCAATTGTGGTCTGTGGACCACCAGTGGTCTGCAAGAACGAAAATAAGGTCCGAGGCCTCACCATTACTACACCGTTGCCTCAAAACCATGTGGCAACGAGAACGACTGGTCTCGCGAAACCCTCTTACAGAGCTGAGGCAACAGAGATGTCAGGAGGGGAGAGGCTAACCCCCATGAAAGATTACTACTAACACATCAGCTCTAGATTATTAAATATGGTTTTCTGTGGGCGAGCAGATGGTGACTACTGAATGGCATATGTTCTCTATCAGAAACGAGAGCTGATGTGGTCTAACCAATGCAATTTTCTGAATCAGCACCCCAAAGTTGACCAAAATCTAAAGTTGACCAAAAACTGATTTGTAACCCTTTTGGTACTAATGTTGGAGAGTGGTCCCTGATCAAGGTAGTCCCTGGTCAAGGTGGTCCCTGGTCAAGGTGACCCCTGGTCAAAGTGGTCCCTGGTCCCTAGTCAAGGTGGTCCCCGGTCAAGGTGGTCCCTGGTCCCTGCTCAAAGTAGTCCCTGGTCAAGGTGGTCCCTGGTCAAGGTGGTCCCTGGTCAAGGTGGTTCCTGGTCCTTGCTCAAAGTGGTCCCTGCTCAAGGTGGTCCCTGGTCACTGGTCAAGGTGGTCCCTGGTCAAGGTGGTCCCTGGTCCCTGCTCAAAGTAGTCCCTGGTCAAAGTGGTCCCTGGTCCCTGCTCAAAGTGGTCCCTGGTCAAGGTGGTCTCTGGTCAAGGTGGTCTCTGGTCAAGGTGGTCCTTGGTCCCTGCTCAAAGTGGTCCCTGGTCAAGGTGGTCCCTGGTCAAAGTGGTCCTTGGTCAAGGTGGTCTCTGGTCAAGGTGGTCCAGGGTCCCTGGTCAAAGTGGTCCCTGGTCCCCGGTCAAAGCGTTCCCTGGTCAAAGTAGTCCAAAGTGCAGAAAACATACAAAACATGAATGAATTCCTATGCACAAAAAGCATGAAAAAACAATCAAACATTTAAAACGAAGACCAATTTTAACCAACCTAAACTTACCAGTATTTCAGTGGGAAGTATGGGCCTGCTTTTGCCTGATGAGAGAGTAAGTTGAATAGGATTGTTGTTGTGTACCTTCAAGTCATTTCAGACTGAAGGCAACTCGAAGTCCAAAGTTTTGGATAGAGCTAGATAGATAACGAGATGTTATTTTATTAATTTTAATACAAACTGCCTAGCAAAGAAGGAACCTAACCATATATGTAATTTGCAATTAAAGTTTGGATGTTGAATCTTAACCAAGCTTTTTAGCAATGGCCGGTTTTCCTTTTCTTTTTGCGGATGTGCAGAAATGAAAAACCCCATTGCACGATGTCCAGAAGCTCTTTCTCTCTCATTAAAAAATGAGAAAATCTGCAAATCATCTTTATAACCCTAATTAAAAATGAATCATGTTGGCAAAAGGGGAGTGCCTGCAACAGCTGCTAAACGCACTGAAGTGATTCAAAATCCGGTTGCTCTATTTTTAAATATTTGCAGTTAACCTGCACACGTAACTCTCCAAATAAAGACACACTTGAGCTCATAAAGTGCTATACCCACCCAGTCTCTCCCAGCTTTCCATTGCAGTCTGGAAGCTGCTCAGGGCGGAAACCTGTGTTTATTTATATCTTTTTATTAGGCACAGTGATGGCATCTATCGAGGAGGGCAAACACGCCATCGTCTGTGGATCTACAGATCCCAATCCTGTTCATACTAACGTGGCCATGTGGATAGCTGGGTCCATTTCGATCCAATTGTGCCTTCTTGCATGGCAAACCGGGGTCAGACTGGACCTTTAGGGATCCCTTTGAACTCTCTGATTCTGTTTCTTCTTACCTTATTTGCAGGGTGCAAAGAGACCCTGTGAATGAATTGGGACGATGCACAACAGTCCCCGAAAGGGTTCCAACGATATGAATTAACAATCTGGTTTCCAAACTGTTCCAAACAAAGCCAAGCTTAGATTTTATTTTATTTTCCTTCCCCAGGCAGTGGAAGGCATCAAATACTTCCTGACCATCGTACTGGCGCAAACAAATTGCGAAAAGAAGACGGCGTATGACCTGCCAGCAGCAGAATTAGAAAAATGTGAAGTTTCCCCAAAGGCCGAAAAGGAGGTGAGTGGAATTAATATGCAACTACACTGTAGAATTAATGCCGTTTGATGCCACTTTAACTGCATGGCTCAATGCTATAGAATCTTGGGAGCTGTAGTTTGGTAAAGCACCTGCGCTCTTTGCCTGAGAAGGATAAGGACTTTATAAAACTACAACTCCCAAGACCCCAGGACTCCCAGGACTACAACTTTAGGGAGCCCCCAGTGGCACAGCAGGTTAAACCGCTGAGCTGCTGAACTTGCTGACCGAAAGGTCGGTGGTTAGAATCCAGGGAGCGGGGTGAGCTCCCGTTGTTAGCCCCAGCTTCTGCCAACTTAGCAGTTTGAAAACATGCAAATGTGAGTAGAGCAATAGGTACCGCTCCGGTGGGAAGGTAATGGTGCACCATGCAGTCATGCCGGCCACATGACCTTGGAGGTGTCTATGGACAATGCCGGCTCTTCAGCTTAGAAATGGAGATGAGCACCAACCCCCAGAGTTGGACACGACTAGACTTAATGTCAGGGGAAAACCTTTACCTTAAGGCCCTAAAATGCTATCATAATCTATAGTTTGCAGTGTGAGTGGTCCTTTCTCCTCTCTCTGGGGAGGAAAGGAGAAATCTCAGGGTGCAGCCTGGTGTATTCTTCATTTGTTAGACTTGACTTCTTACAGTTATTTCAATATTCTGTGCAATATTTCTCTTTCGCCTTCAGAAACACACCTGTGAATTCGAGGTCTGGATGAACGAGAAGAAAACCAGCGCAGGAATTCAAACTTGGAAGCGCCTGAGTTGGCGGTGCACCTGGAATATTCCTTATTCTAATTCTTAATGCTCAGCCATTTTTCTGATCCTTCCTTCTTTTGCTAGATATCCCTCTAAATTCAGTCTGTCCAGGTTCACAACCTCACAAATCATGACCTTGTAGGGCCATGTTTTTTGGTGTCTCTGGTGGGATCCAAATCTGATCATTCCAACCATTCCCCAAAGCAAGGGGAGCATCTCCACTGTAGAACAGGCATGGGCAAACTTTGGCCCTCCAGGTGTTTTGGACTTCAACTCCCACCATTCCTCACAGCCTCATGCCCTTTCCTTTTCCCCCTCAGCCGCTTAAGCGGCTGAGGGGGAAAAGGAAGGGGCCTGAGGCTGTGAGGAATGGTGGGAGTTGAAATCCAAAACACCTGGAGGGCCAAAGCTTGCTCATCCCTGTTGTAGAATGAATGCAGTCTCTCTGAATTCACACAGAGAACAGAGAGAATAAGTCTTTAAAATATGCTTCATGCCTTAGAAATAACCAGGCTTCAGAGAGTTGGCAGCCATTTCCTTCCTGGCTGTTTCCAGTCAGCGCTCTCTTCATTCTCTGGGGTCAAAGTGGCAGTTAAAACCATTTGTCTCGGCAGCATGCCAGAGACAGCAGCCAATCGGAATTCTGGCTCAGCCAATCAGTTGCCAACACATGTCTTTCCAGCCAACCCATTTAGGCGGTTAAGAATTGTGAGAGTTGGAGTCCAAAACCCCTGGAGGACCAAAGTTTGCCAATGCCTGATCTACATTGTAGAATGAATGCAGTTTGACACCACATTAACTCTGCAATCTGGAATCCTAGAATTTATAGTTTCTACTCTTCAGGCGTATCTACACTGTAGAATTAACCCAGTTAGATACCACTTTAACTGCCATGGGGACCACTTGAGATGTAGTTTTACAAGGTTTTTAGCCTGCTCTGCTCAAGAGTGCCAGGGCCTCACCAAACTAGAACTCCCAGGGTTCCACAGCATTGAACTATGACACATCAAGCAGTGTCAAATAGCATTAACTCTGCTGTGCGGATGCACCTAAAGTCTAGTTTGCCCATCTGATGCAATATTGCTAATTCTTCCGTGATTTATGACTAAGTCTTAATAAAAATATATTATTTGCCTGTTAATGGTTTGATTCCTCTGGTTGCAAATATTGGGCTGGAAATCAGTATGGAATGTATACCTATGGAAGCAATTTGAGCATTGGACTAAAGGTCTGGGGATCTGAGTTTGAATCCCTGTTCAGCCATGCAAACCCACTGGATCATCTTGCGCAAATCACAATCTCTCATTCCCGGAAAACCCTGAAAGATCACCTAAAGATTGCATTTGTGCCTCAATAGATTCCAATCTGCATTTTCGGATACCCTGAGAGGCATTTATGCAATTCACCAGGATGGCTCTGTAGTGCATTTGCTCTGTACATCGGCCCTCCACATCAACGGGTTTAACTGTTTCTAATTGCCTATTCGATTAATATCAAGTTGGCCATAGAGGTGTATTAGAGATTCCTAATTTTTCTCTACTTTCTTGGGCATCTTATGCCCCTAATCCCAGCAAATGTAAAGAACCAACTATATCTATAAATGTGAAAATAAATATATGTTTATGGTTTATGATTTTCTGAATAATCCCATTAGAAAATGGATTTGTGGCCAACACTAGTTACATAAGCTAGTGTTTTATTAAACTTTCAATGAGAAGCTTCTTGGCATAGTTTACCTCAGGTGTATTCTTTTCTCCGTCTATATAAATAAAAATGTAATGTTCATTTGTGGGATTAACAGAACTCAAAAACCACTGGACGAATTGACACCAAATTTGGACACAAGACACCTGACCACCCAATGTATGTCCTTTACTCAAAAAAATTAATTTTGTCATTTGGGAGTTGTAGTTGATGGGATTTATAGTTCACCTACAATAAAGCATTCTGAACCCCACCAATGATGGAATACAACCAAACTTGGAGCACAGAACTCCCATGGCCAACAGAAAATACTGGAAGGGTTTGGTGGCCAGTGTCCTTTGGTTTTGGAGTTGTAGTTCACCTACATCCAGAAATCACTGTGGACTCAAACAATGATGGATCTGGACCAAACTCTACATGAATACTCAATATGCTCAAATATGAACACTGGTAAAGTTTGGGGGAAATAGAATCTCGACATTTGGGAGTTGTATTTGCTGGGATTTATAGTTCACCTATAATCACAGAGCATTCTGAACCCCACCAACAATAGAATTGGGCCAGACCTCCCACACAGAACCCCCATGACCACCAGAGTGGGCCACAACAACGCGTGGCAGGGGGCGGCTAGTGCATAATAAATGCAGTGCACGGAATATAGGATTCTGTTAAGACCTGAATTGTTACCCAAGTTTTGTCATCTTGAGGACTCCTTTCTCTAGCTCACTTCCTGGCTCTCTGAGGCTGATCTACACTGCCACATAATCCAGTATCTGATCCCAGATTATTTATTTATTTACAGTATTTATATTCTGCCCTTCTCACCCTGCAGGGACCTCAGGGCAGATCACAATGCACATATACATGGCAAACATCCAATGCCATAGACACACAACATATAGATAGACAGACAGGAGGGGCTATTTAACTTTCCAGCTTTATGAGGATATGCTTTGAATTCTGGCCACCGGGGGAGCGATCACTTCATTGTCCACTCATGACACCAATGGAGTACTTCCTCATTCTTTTGTACGCTGTTGGAGGGTTTTATGGCTTAGTAAAATAGTTACATTAGCCTCCTGCATAAGCGATATCTAAATTTCCTACTTGACAGAAACAACTGTCTTTTGGGCTACAAAGGTTGACAGCAAGCTAGGCAAATGGTTGGGAGCTTACTCTCACCCGGGCTGGCTTCGAACTCAGTCAGTAGTGATTTTAATGCAGCTGACTCCCAACCAGCTGCGCCACCACTCGGTCTACACTGCCATATAATCCAGTTCATAGCAGATAATCTGGGATCAGACACTGGATTATATGACAGTGTAAACGGGGCCTGAGATTGACTCCCTTAAAATATTGCTATTTTTGCAAAGAGTTTCTCAAATCCAATCGGGAAGGCTTTAAATCGAATTATCTGGTGAAAGGGGTCAGCGTTTGGATAGTCAGAGATTTTTCAGAAGAAAACATCCCAAATGTCATAGAGATCTTTGTAAGAAGCTCAAGAACTCAACAAAGAGAAGGGAAAACATTTAAATAGGGAGCGGCGAAGGATGCCCCATAATCTTTAGTGTCTCTACAGTAATGCACAAAGCATGGGAAATAAACAAGATGAGCTTGAACTCTTAATACAAAAGAGCAAATCCTATGTAATTGGTATTACTGAACCCTGGTGGGACATGGTCTTTTGTCTGGAATGTAGTAAGAAAGGAATATAACCTATTTTGGAAAAATAGACCAACAGAAAAGGTGGAGTAGCATTGTATATCAAGGATGTTTACACCTGTAAAGAGGTCCATGACATAAAGAAAGGCCATAACCACAGAAAGTCAACATGGATTTCTGAGAAGCAAAGTCTTGTCAGACGAACTTATCTCTCTCTCTTTTTAATAGCGTCACAACGTTGTCTAGCTAAAGGGAATGCTGTGGGTGTAGCATATATTTATTTTAGTAATGGCTTTGACAAGGTTCCCCACAAACAAAGAAGCTAATAAAATGTGGGCTAGGCAATGCTACTGTTAGATGGATCTTAAGCGACCGAACCCAAAGAGTGCTTACCAATGGTTCTTCTTCATCCTGGAAAGAAGTGATGAGTTGAATGCCACAGGGATCGGTCCTGGGCCCAGTTATGTTCAACACCTTTATTAATGACTGGTCGTCCCCTGCCACGCATTGCTGTGGCCCACAAGGTGGTTCTGTGTGGGAGGTTTGGCCCAATTCTATTGTTGGTGGGATTCAGAATGTTCTGTGATTGTAGGTGAACTATAAATCCCACAACTACAACTCCCGAACGTCAAGATTCTATTTTCCCCAAACTCTACCAGTGTTCACATTTGGGCATATTAAGTATTCGTGTAGAGTTTGGTCCAGATCCATCATTGTTTGAGTCCACAGTGATCTCTGGATGTAGGTGAACTACAACTCCCAAACTCAAGGTCAATGCCCACCAAACCTTTCCAGTATTTTCTGTTGGTCATGGGAGAACTGTGTGCCCAGTTTGGTTCAAATCCATCGTTGGTGAGGTTCAGAATGCTCTTTGATTGTAGGTGAACTATAAATCTCAGCAACTACATCTCCCAAATGACGAAATCAATTTTTTTGAGTGAAGGACATACATTGGGTTGTTAGGCGTATTGTGTCCAAATTTGGTGTCAATTCGTCCAGTGGTTTTTGAGTTCTGTTAAACCCACAAACGAACATTAAATGTTTATTTATATATACTTGGATGAAGGTTTAGAGTATGAGCTTATCAAGTTTGAGGATGGCACCAAATTAGGACAGAGAGCTAATACCCCAGAGGAGAGAATCAGAATCCAAAATGACTTTAACAGGTTAGACCGCTTGGCCAAAACAAACAAAATGGATTACAATAAAAATAAATGTATGGACCCTATGCCGGCAAAAAAAAATAATCTTGAAGTGCACAGATATAGAAAGAGTGACACCTGGCCTGAAAAGAGTCTGTATGAAAGGGATCTCGCAGCCTTAGTAGTCTACAAGCTGAACATGAGTCAAGAGTAATATGGCAGCAAAAAAACCCTAAGAAATCGTAATACCAAGAGTCCTTTTTCTTTGTGTTTATGTTGATTTATGTATACAGTGTGGTGTGGCAGTGAAAAGGTCCAATGCAATTCTAGATTACATCAGTAGTAGCCTAGTGTTGAGATTGAGGGAAGCCAATTCTATTGTTTTGGCCAAACCTCACCTGGAATAAACCCATGCCCAGCTCTGGGCAACACAATTCAAACAGGATGTTAACAGGATATCTAGAGAAGGGTGAGCAAAATGATCAAACGTTTGGAAATCAAACCCAGGGACAAACAGCTGAGGGGGCTGGATATGTTTAGCTTGCAGAAAAGACAGCTGAGAGAGGATATCACAGCCATGTTTAAATATCAAATGGACAAATCATACTTATTAATTTTTCCTGCCATGCAGAAGATGCTGTCCATCTCTGAACTCAGTAGGATTCCCTAGCTAACAAGAACCCAGAGCAAACTTCGTGCCCCTTCAACTTCTACAACACTGCTGGTCACAGCTGACCTCCAATTAGAGCGCTCAAGGGCCAGGGCTTCCCAGTTCTCAGTGTCTATGCCAGAGTTTTTAAGGTTGGCTTTGAGCCCATCTTTAAATCTCTTTTCCTGCCCACCAACATTCCCTTTTCTGTTCTTGAGTTCGGAGTAGAGCAACTGCTTTGGGAGATGGTGGTTGGACATCCGGACAACGTGGCCGGTCCAGCGGAGTTGATGGCGGAGGACCATCGCTTCAATGCTGGTGGTCTTTGCTTCTTCCAGCACACTGACGTTTGTCCGCCTGTCTTCCCAGGAGATTTGCAGGATTTTCCGGAGGCAGCGCTGATGGAAACGTTCCAGGAATTGCATGTGACGTCTGCAGATAGTCCACGTTTCACAGGCATATAGCAGGGTTGGGAGGACAATAGCTTTATAAACAAGCACCTTGGTATCCCTTATGGATGTCCCGGTCCTCAAACACTCTGTGCTTCAATCTGAAAAATGCTGCACTCGCAGAGCTCAGGCGGTGTTGTATTTCGGTGTCAATGTTGACTTTTGTTATCTTTCACTCTCTCTCTGAGGTGAGCCCCCGATGGCGCAGTGGGTTAAACGCCTCTGCCGGCAGAACTCAAGACCGACAGATCACAGGTTCGAATCCGAGGAGAGGCGGATGAGCTCCCTCTATCAGCTCCAGCTCCTCATACAGGGACATGAGAGAAGCCTCCCACAAGGATGATAAAAAAATCAAATAATCCAGGTGTCCCCTGGGCAACGTCCTTGCAGACGGCCAATTCTCTCACACCAGAAGTGACTTGCAGTTTCTCAAGTCACTCCTGACATGACAAAAAAAATCTTTCACTCTCTCTGAGATAGCCTTGCCATCTATATACTGCCCTCTGATGGTTGAATCTGAGCGCTGCATATATACACACATATTTATTTGCTTTGGGGGCCCTAGCCCCAAAAGAGGTGGATTTATTAGTTGACACCCCACCAGTATTTTCAGTTGGATCATGAAGAATATGTGTACCACATTTAGTCCAGATCCATCAAACCATGTAGGAGCCTTTGTGGAACATACATATATACATATTTTAGTTTTATATCTAAAGGAAAGATTTAAATACTTCACTACCTCTGAGGATGCTTGCCATAGATGCAGGCAAAACATCAGGAGAAAATGCCTCTAGACCATGGCCATATAGCCTGAAAAAAACTACAACAATCCAGTGATTCCGGCCATGAAAGCCTTCGACAATACAAAGATTTAAATACTTTCCACTTTGACCCAAAAGGAATAACATTTCGCAAGACAGGTATTTCTTGCTCCCAACAATTTCTAACCTTTCCCTATAAAGAAAAAAAAAAACAAGCCTGTAAAAATGGACTAGAGAGGTCACAGGCCACAAGTGTGGAAATACAGAACAATTTCCTGTACATGTTACTTTTTCTTTTCCTCGTTCAAAACAAGAGATAAGAGGCATCTACAAAAGTTGGAACAGTAGAACAGAACAGATCATGAATCCACAGTTCCATGCAACAGAATCCAGAGATTTGTAGTTTGCCATGGTCCCAGAGCTCTCTGACAGTGAAAGGTAAATACGTAGTTCGCATAATTACAACTCTCAGAATTCCATGGTATCAAGCCATGGCAGTTGAGGTGGTGTCAAACTGCTATACTTTTGGAGTCCAGTAGGGATACTGAAGGCTTGGCATCTAAAGATGCATCTACACTGCTGAACCAATACAGTTTGACACCACTTTAATAGCCATGGCTTCATGCTATGGAATCCTGGGGGTTTAGTTTTGCAAGGTCATCTGCCTTCTTTGATAAACATTGCCATATTAGTTCCAGACCATACCAAATTATGTGGATTCTCAAATATCATCATATACAATGGAGTAATATTTTTACAATGACAACCAGGATTTGTACCCTTATTTTCTCTCTGGACACAAATAAGTCCATAATCTTAAAACTACTATTTTTATCCCACAGCCTTAAGAAAGCTCAGAACATTCTTAAGGATCCATCTCACCCAGAATGTTTGTTTTTTGAATTATTATGATCTGGCAGACGGTACAGGGTGACAAAGACAAGGACAAACAGACTGAGATACATGTTTTTTCAAAGGCTTTCATGGCTGGAATCACTGGGTTGCTGTGAGTTTTCTTGGCTGTATGGCCATGTGGTCTGTTGGAACTAGGAAAAAGGGTTCATATATATCTGTGGAATGACATCTAATCACCTCTCAACAAAAGTTTGCTCCAGACACTGTCAGGCCATTATATGCTAATCAAGGTGTTCAGTTGAAACATTCACACCTAGCTCCAGCAGACAAGAGTTCTTTGCCCCATCCCGGTTATTCCACAGATATATAAACCCTTTTTCCTAGTTCCAACAGACCTCACTACCTCTGAGGATGCTTGCCATAGATGCAGGTGAAACGTCAGGAGAGAATGCCTCTAGACCATGGCCATATAGCCATGGCCATATAGCCCGAAAAAACCTACAACAACCCAGTTTTGTACTTGTTTTGTTCATGCAATTCTTATGACACGAAATAAATAAAAGCACCAGTCCAGGCCTGGGCCAACTTGAGCAGCCCTCCAGGAGTTTTGGACTTCAACTCCCACAATGCTTAACAGTCGATAGGCTGTTCAATATAGGCTCGATCTACATTCTCTTCTGATATTTTGCCCACACCTATGGCAGGCATCCCAAGTCAAAAAAGAAGCAAAATTAAAGCCCTGGGAGACTGTAAAAAGAATCTACGAAGCCCATCTCCTCCAAGATGAACTATAATTATGTAATTCTGTTGTTGTTTATTGTTTGCGTTTTCAGTTTGTGTTTTAAGTTTTAATTTATTGTAAATTGTTGTTTGGGCTTAGCCTCATGTAAGCCGCTCCGAGTCCCCATTGGGGAGATGATAGCGGGATATAAATAAAGATTATATTTATTTATTTGGGTTGTTGTAGGTTTTTTGGGGCTATATGGCCATGTTCTAGAGGCATTTTCTCCTGACGTTTCGCCTGCATCTATGGCAAGCATCCTCAGAGGTAGTGAGGTCTGTTGGAAGTAGGAAAATGGGTTTATATATCTGTGGAATGACTCGAGTGGGGCAAAGGACTCTTGTCTGCTGGAGCTAGGTGTGAATATTTCAACTGACCACCCTAATTAGCATTTGATGGCTTGGCAGTGCCTGGGGGAATCTTTTGTTGAGAGGTGATTAGATGTCTCTGATTGTTTACTCTCTGTTGTTTTGCTAGTTCTGATGGAAACTAGGCAAGTGCCTTTTATATATCTGTGGAATGTCCTGGGTGGGAGAAAGAATTCCTGTCTGGGTTGCTGTGAGTTTTCCAGGCAGTATGACCATGTTCCAGAAGTATTCTCTCCTGACGTTTCACTCGCATCTATGACAGGCATCCTCAGAGGTTGTGAGGTCTGTTGGAAACTAGGAAAGTGGGGTTTATATATCTGTGGAATGTCCAGGGTGGGACAAAGACTCTTGTCTGCTGGAGCTAGGTGTGAATGTTTCAACTGACCACCTTGATTAGCATATAATGGCCTGGCAGTGCCTCGAGAGCAAACTTTTGTTGAGAGGTGATTAGATGTCCTTGTTTGTTTCTTCTTTGTTGTTGTGCTGTTGTAATTTTAATACTGGTAGCCAGATTTTGTTCATTTTCATGGTTTCCTCCTTTCTGTTGAAATTGTCCACATGCTTGTGGATTTCAATGGCTTCTCTGTGTAGTCTGACATGGTGGTTGTTGGAGTGGTCCAGCATTTCTGTGTTCTCGAATAATATGCTGTGTCCAGGTTGGTTCCTCAGGTGCTCTGCTATGGCTGACTTCTCTGGTTGAAGTAGTCTGCAGTGCCTTTCATGTTCCTTGATTCGTGTTTGGGCAATGCTGCGTTTGGTGGTCCCTATGTAGACTTGTCCACAGCTGCATGGGATATGGTAGACTCCTGCAGAAGTGAGAGGATCCCTCTTGTCCTTTGCTGAACGTAGCATTTGTTGGATTTTCTTGGTGGGTCTGTAGATAGTTTGTATGTTGTGTTTCTCATCTAAGCAAGAAAATAAACACCAAAAAAAAAACACAATCAGGCTTCCCTATGCGAGTCATGTTGAATGTAACAAAATCTGGCTACTTTCAGTATTAGAAAAAGCTCTAGGCTCCACGGAAGCAAATCCTTTGTCCTTACCCTAGGTCTATATCCTTACTAGATATATAAGACCCGTTTTCCCGTATTCCAACAGACCTCATTACCTGCTGAGGATGCTTGCCATAAAGGCAGGTGAAACATCAGGAGGTGAAGCGTCGGAGAGAATGCCTCTCTAGACATTTTAAAGGTCCTCTGGAGAAATACGTACAAACAACCCATGGATTCTAGAAGCATTGCATAAATAAGTATAAAACTGATAAACTAGAGGGAGCACAAGCAGCTAAATAATTTTAGACTCGGAAACAGGCAACAGAGACTGCATTGTCTGTAGCTTTAAACAATTCCTCCTCTGTCCATGAGGCAGGGCATTGTGGGCATGCATACAGATGCAGCCTTGTTTGTCCTGCTCTGCTGAAGTGGGCTGGAGCCTGAAAGGACTGCTTCAGTCGCAGGGAAGGAGAGAAAGGGGAGAGACTCTTCTTCACGCTCTCCTCCCCAAAAACATTCCCTCTTTGGGGTGCTGAAAGGCCTGGAGGCCGGGGATGGCTGCGGATGGGAACTAGGCCCATTGCCATGGAGACCGAGCAGTTGCCATGGAGACCGAGCAATGCTGCAAGAGGAGAAGGAAGGCCCAGCAGGGCCTCAGGAGGAAGTCTGGGTGGGTCATGGCTGTTCTTTATTATTACTGTGTGTTCCAGGCCTAGCAACAGTGCTAAAGATATGGAAGGAAGGGGGAGACGAACAGGAAAGCGATTTCTATTTTGAAAAATCCTCCCCGCGCTTGGCACTACGGACAGCTTTGCTTTACGGCAGAAATGAGAAATTCCAGCTCTTCTTGGACATGAAATCCGATTTTTTAACGAATTCTAAAGCATAATATCTTTGAATATGTTCAAATGGTTTTTAACTGTCATTTTTTAAAAAAATACTGTTTATATAGATTTGTGTGTGTGTGTACAACATTTTAAAACTTTTCTACTATTAGAGTGGGTAGAAAGGCCAAGGAAAGTATAATAAGTTGGGTTGCTGTAGGTTTTCTCGGGCTATATGGCCATGTTCTAGAGCAGTGGTTCTCAACCTGTGGGTCCCCAGATGTTTTGGCCTTCAACTCCCAGAAATCCTAATAGCTGGTAAACTGACTGGGATTTCTGGGAGTTGTAGGCCAAAACACCTGGGGACCCACAGGTTGAGAATCACTGTTCTAGAGGCATTCTCTCCTGACGTTTCGTCTGCATCTATGGCAAGCATCCTCAGAGGTGCCTAGTTTCCAACAGACCTTACTACCTCTGAGGATGCTTGCCATAGATGCAGGCGAAACGTCAGGAGAGAATGCCTCTAGAACATAGCCATATAGCCCGAAAAAACCTACAACAACCCAGTGATTCCGGCCATGAAAGCCTTCAACAATATAATAAGTTGTATTGTCAAAGGCTTTCATGACCAGAATCACTGGGTTGTTGTGAATTTTATGGGCTGTATGGCCTTGTTCCAGAAGCATTCTCTCCTGATGTTTCACCTCCAACTATGGCAGGCATCCTCAGAGGTTGTGAGGTCTGTTGGAAACTAGGCAAGTGGGGTATGTATATACATACACACACACACACATATATATTGTTTTATGGTTTTAACTAATGCTGCATCTTTCTCTCACCCTGGACATTCCACAGATATATCCACAGGCCCGGAAGAGATGAAAATGAAAAGATGGGACAACAGAAGAAGAAGGGAGATCAATGAGAAAGGGAAAAGGAATTGAAAAGAGAGAGAGAAAAAATCCAATTATTTTTGTTTTTCCTAAACAAAGGACATTGTGAATGGAACTGCTTTAGAAATAGAAATATGTAGCAATACCCTCCCCATCCTCATTCACAGATAGATAGATAGATAGATAGATAGATAGATAGATAGGTAGATAGGTAGATAGATAGATCGATCTGTGGAATGTCCAGGGTGAGAGAAAGATGCAGCATTAGTTAAAACCATAAAACAATATCACAATATCCTCAGCTGTAACGTTAATCCAGTCCATATCCAACTACAGTGCTCCTTATGCCGGTTGTCCGAAAGCCTGGTCCCAAAACCAGGATTTTAGTTTCTTCCTGAAGGCCAGGAGAGATGGGGTCAACCTTATCTCATTTGGGAGAGCATACCAAAGGTGGGGGGCCACGGATGAGAAGGCCCTGTCCCTCGTCTCCACCAGATACATTTGCAGTGTTGACGGAAGCGAGAGCAGTGCCTCCCCAGATGATCTTAGTTTACGAGGTGGGCAAAATTTAATGGCCTAGTAGTTTCAAGGTGTGGCTTCTTACTGCCTGCGGAAACCTTTGTTGGGAGGTGATTAGCTCACCTTGGTTGTTTCTTATCTGGAATTCCTGTGTTTTTGAGTGTTGTTCTTTATTTTATTATTTTAGAGGGTTTTTTAAAATACTGGTAGCCAGATTTTGTTCATCTTCATGTTTTAATAATAAGTTGATTATGGAGTTTTGTTAATAAGCTAGGTCTATCCATAAGTCTTAACGTACAGCCAAGAATGAGGACGGGGAGGGTTTTGCCACATATTTCTATCTCTAAAGCAGTTTCATTCACAATGTCTTTTTCTTAGGAAAAACAAAAATAATTGGTTCTCTCTATCTTTTCAATTCCTTTTCTCTTTCTCATTGATCTCCTTTCTTCTTCTGTTGTCCCATCTTTTTCTTCTCATCTCCTCTGGGCCTATACCTAGAAATGTTAAATGCTTTTAACATTTTCAATGCTTTTCTTCCAGCAAGAACAGCTATTTTTGATGTTGATGTTATGTTCTGACATGCTTTCAGTAATTGCAATGGTTCTATGTTAAGTTATGTTAATTTGACCTATGTTTCAACTATTTCTTGCTATAAACCACAAACCCAAACTTATGATGCGTGGATGTGAGTTTTCTACGCTGTCTGGCCATGTTCCAGAAGCAGAAAGACCAATGCGGATGTGTTGCTTCCCATCTTTTCCCATTATTTCTCTTCAGTCCTGCTGTCACCTGGGATTGCAACATCGACAATCCATACTTGGTTTTTTAACACGATCATGAGGTCATGATATTATTATTATTATTATTATTATTATTATTATTATTATTATTTTAAGAGCTCCAGACCTAATGTAAGTAAGCAAAACTCAAAAAATCTCAGAGCTTTTGAGATTAAAATAATCCTGTTCTGGACTACATCCCGCAAAATCCACCTTTCAACCAGCATGGCCACTCTTAATGAAAAATAAAAGCATTTTAGCTGGACCTAGGAAGGACCAATGTGGATGTATTGCTTCCACTGAGGATCCTTTCCTATTAAGGTCTTATGTACCTATGTCTTTGATCCCTGAAATTTCTTTTTGCTGAAACTTAGGGATGTATTTTCATTTTCTGATTTTCTTCTAGCAGGTAACTGGCAAGGGAAAAATGCCTTTGCCAACCACAGGAATTCTCTGACTCAGAACTTCCCCAAAGACGAACAAGCCTGTATGGAAGAAAAATGTCCTGAAGAGATGTCCTGCATATGCACCAGCTGTGGGAGATGTTTTGCTCCAAACATGACACATGTATGTCATGAGAGAATGCAGCAGGAAAAGACCTTTGGATGTGAACTTTCGGTGGAAGGTGTTGATCACAAATTGCAACATATAGCAGAGAAAACACACAAATGCCAGGAATGTGGAAAATGTTTTGATTCCAAGTCACATCTCCGGCAACACCAGGTAATCCACACAGGAGAGAAACCATACAGCTGCCAAGAATGTGGAAAATGTTTTAATACCACATCGGGACTTCTGAGACACCTGAGAACCCACACAGGAGAGAAACCCTACAGATGCCAAATGTGTGGGAAATGTTTTGTTTCCAATTCCGTACTTGTGATCCACCAGAGAATCCACACAGGCGAAAAACCATACAAATGCCAGGAATGTGGGAAATGTTACGCCCACCACTCAGGGCTTGTTATCCACCAAGGAATCCACACAGGAGAGAAACTGTACAACTGCCAAGAATGTGGAAAGGGTTTTCATTCCAGGTCAGGACTTCTCAAACACCAGAGAATCCACACAGGGGAGAAGCCATACAAATGCCAAGAGTGTGAGAAACGTTTTGTTTCCAAGTCATCTTTTGTGGATCACAAAAGGATCCACACAGGAGAAAAACCATACAAATGCCCAGAGTGTGGGAAATGTTATGCCCGAAATTCAGTGCTTGTCATCCACCGTAGAACCCACACAGGAGAGAAACCATACGGGTGCCAGGAGTGTGGGAAATGCTTTAATTCCAAGCCAGAACTTTGGAATCACCAGAGAATCCACACGGGAGAGAAACCGTATAAGTGCCAGGAGTGTGGGAAATGCTATGCCCGAAAACCAGATCTTGCCATCCACCAGAGAACCCACACAGGAGAGAAACCATACACGTGCCAGGAATGTGGAAAACGTTTTTCATCTAAATCATGTCTTGTCATCCATCAGAAAACCCACAGAGGAGAGGAAGAATACAAATGTGAGGATTGTGAAAAATGCTATGCTTCCAAGTCAGGACTTGTGAAACACAAGACAGTCATGCATAAAGGGAAAAAAGCATAGAAAAACCAAGAGTTCTGCCCACAGTTGAGACTTTGTCACCCACTAGAGTCCACACAGACAAGAATGCTACAATTGCTAGGAGTGTGGGAAATGTTTTTTTCAGAATTCAGCTCTTAGGCAGCATAAGCGGTGCTCAGGGAGCATACAACCCCTCTGTTGTGCCAATTCCACTGGCTGCCAGTTTGATAGCGAGCACAATCTAAAGTGCTGGCTTTAGCCTTTAAAGCCCTAAATAGTTCCAGACCAGTTTACCTGTCCCAACGCATCTCTCCCTGTGAACCATCTAGGTCTTTAAGATCGTCTGTAGAGGCCCTGCTCTCGGTCCCACCTCCTTTGCAGATGCAACCGGTGGGAACAAAAGACAGGGCCTTCTCAGCGGTGGCCCCTCAGCTATGGAACGCCCTCTCTAGGGATATTATATCGGCCCCCTCCCTCTTAACATTTCGAAAGAGAGTCAAAACCTGGCTTTTTGAGCAAGCATTTACAGATGCAGTGTAATTAGATCCATGGAATGATTAGATGATGTGACTGGGAAATGGTTTTAGTAATGAGACGTTGAGGACTTGTGTTTTATTGTTTTATATTGTATGTTAATGTTTTAATTATATTTTATATTATTGAGGGCATTTAATTTTGCCATTTCTAAACCACCCTGTTGCCTCCGGGCTGAGAAAGGCGGTATAAAAATATGGCAAATAAATAAATAAATAAGACAGTTCACACTCAAGAGAGCACTGAGGACTTTTTTTTGCCTTGACAGCAGAGCGGTTATTATATCAGAATCCACAGAATCATACACTGCTTTAGACCCCAAGTGCCAGCAAGTCAGCCAGTCCCTTGCTGTACTTGCCTTGGATGTGTATCTTGTAGCTCAAATTAATGCATTGTCGCTTACTTTCAAGAGTTGTGTGTCCTACCATGTTTATTTTGCTCTTGCCATGTTCATTCTTCCTCTGTTGTATGCAGTGTGCTTGTAATAGCTGTGCATCCTAGATGATGGGCATTGTCTTGCTTTGTCTGTGTTGTTATTTCTTGTTTTGAAGGGGCCTGCTGGAGAAAGCTCATTAGCTAAGTGTTTTCTAAGCCTGCCAGATTTATTGTAATCAGGAGTAGTCATTGAAGAATGCCGTTCTCATGAATGGAATTATGGGGTGTTTGGAGGGTTTGGGTTTAAAAGCCAGTGGGGAGAAACCAGGCAAAAGGGACCGATGTGTGATGTTGAAGTGCTTTCTCTGTATACATGTATTTTCTTAAATGAATTTGAATGCTTTGAGAACTGTCTTTCCAGAACGTGAACCTGCCTATTCTTACCCTCATTCTTACCCTCATTGTCAAACCTGGGAAAAGTGTGTTTTAAGGGGTGGATGTGAGTTTAATAAAGAGAAGATCTACAGGTTTGCAGGAAAAGTTAACAAGTTCTGAAATGACATTCTATACCAGTGGTTCCCAACCTTTTTGTTTTGACCAGGGATCACTTTGATTTTTTTGTTGTTAGCAGGAACCACAAGGCTCAACAACAACACTTTATTTACATCTCGCCACCATCTCCCAAAAAGGGACTCAGGGTGGCTTACAAAATTGCACATATTGTGCCATAACACATAAATACATCAATATCCATAATAATGACAATTATAGTTGCAATTACAAAGTCAATGAATATAAACAGCCCTTACAAAAATTACAACAAGAATAGTAAACTGTGTTAATCTAAAAATAAACTTTAATCAAAACTTTTAATATTTGTTCAGTTTAATAGTAACATGAATTAAGAGTACTATAATAATATAAAAAAGAACATTTTTAATAGAAAATTAAATTAGGTTTCCATCAATGTGATTTGTGAGCTTGCATCTTTTTTACAAGTTGGGTAATTCTGGGGCTAATATTATTACATCTTGAACTCGAACTCTGCAGCCATCCCATCCTGTTCATGATTTCAAAGTCCGCTTACCTTCAGGGCTGGATTAACCTGTGTCTCAATCTAGGGATTAAAATGGGATAGAAATACTATAAATATGTTTATCCTGGAGAAGAGATGGTTGACAGGGGACTTGATTGCCATGTATAAATATTTGAAAGGATGCCATAAGGAGGAGGGAGCAGGCTTGTTTTCTGCTGCCCTGGAAACTAGGTCTCAGGGGAGCCATGAGTTCCAATGACAGGAAAGGAGATTCCACCTGAACATTAGGAAGAACTTCCTGAACATAAGAAGAGCTGTTCAACATACGTTTTATAGATTTAATCTGAATTGTTTTTAATACTAATAATGTTTAATGCTGTTTTAATATTTGTATATTTTAAATTGCATGCTGATGTTTTTATGTTAAGCTGTTTTGAGTCTCCTGCGGGAGCGATAGTGGGATATTAATATATATAACCCCACTCTGCTGGTCATGGACCATAATAAAGTCTTGATTGATTGAAATAATAATAATAACAACAACAGCAACAACTCTCTGCCTTGGAGTGTGGTCAAAGCTCCTTTCTTGGCGGCTTTTCAACAGAGGTTGGGTGGCCATCTGTCAGGTGTGCTTCGATTATGCTTTTACTGCATGACCCTTGGGGTCTCTTTCAACTCTATTCTTCTGTTACATACATATATTTAATATATATTTGTCAAAATATAAATGTATGTTTATATGTGTGTTTGAACCACAAAAATCACCCACATAGATGGACATACCTTTCATGATCTAATTTTCAAATACTGGTGGGGTTTTTTGGGTGATAGAAGATGATGGGAGTTAAAGTCCAGCCACATCCAAAGAGCCATGTGATTCCCATCCACAACCGAAGGCATGGTTCACCTCCTAACTGGACAGACGGCTCAGCCTACTCGTCAGGTACTGCATCTCCCAACATCCTTACCCCTTCACTAGGCCAGTTAGAGATTATAGGAATGAGTTACAGCCTCACAAGAACTGTGGATGTTGATATTAGAAGACTTAAACAACTTTGGGTTACACTAACTGAAAGACTGTATGTACTCACACAAGCTTTTGCTCATTCCCACCACCTTCGAAGGGCTTTTCCCTGTCCTCCCTGCGCTCTTCCTGCCAGCAACTGAAGATGAAGCCAACTGAAATACAAATGGTTTATCAGGCCAAAAGCAAGAGAAGAAGAAGGGGACCACTCTGCTTTTCATATCTGAAGACCTCATAAAATGAAGAAAAGGTCTGTCTGAAAGATAAAACATATCTAAGTTCATTTCAAATATGACATATGATTCACTATTAAATGCTCATCTTCTAAATCCAAAACACGTGAAAGGGAAAATATCATTAACCGTGTTCTTATTCAGCAGTACAAAACATTGAGAGCCAGTTGTTTTAATTGTTATTGTTTATTTGATATATGTATGTATGACATCGAATTGCTGCCTGTTGTAAGGCTGTCTTGAGTTACCTCTGGGGTGAGAAAGGCGGGATATAAATATGGTAAATAACAACAACAACAACAACTTTATTTTTGTAACCCCCTGTGAAGGTGCGTGTTGTAAATCACCCACTGCCACCTAATCTATGAGGGAAGCCGGGCAACGATCAATATCAACTTAGGAGCTATTTTATAACGGGACTGTTAATTACAGAAGGCTTTATTCATTTGATAGCGTAGCGTTTACTTTCCTGGCTTGACTTTACTATTGCAGGCTGTTCAACTTAGAAGACACTGTATCAGGCAAGGCTTGGGGAAAACAGTAACAAGTTTAATTTAACAGGAGTATAACATATTTAACTGTTTCTTCACAAGAGGCACAAATCTTGATGGTTACATTGGAAAGGTTTCATGAGTAATCTCAGGCACAGACTTCAAAACGTTTCACAGCAGGCACAGCAGGCTTAAACCCAGCCAAACCTTGATTCTTAATTCAGAATCAACAACCCCCTGTAGCTCTCTCACTACTGGGTCCTTCTCTGCAACCACTTTGGTCACCAATTAATTCCCTGAATCTCCACTCTGAGATTCAGTCTTTCCTATAGCACACCGGCTACAGACACATTCCCTGAATCTCCACCTGGAGACTCAGTCCTCTCAGTAGCTCACCGGCTTACTGACTGACTTTTTAAAACAGCTGCCTCGTGAAGAGCCAGTTGGCTCCGCCCCTGTTGCTATGGCAACTCAGCTAACGCCAAGCCACCATCTCCAACAAAACATAATCTCCCATACTTACCATCCCTAAACTACTGTCCAAACTACACATAACCAAAGGAATAAAATTTACACATCGTCACACCCCCCTCCATCTTCTGAAAGGACTCGGGGCAGCTTACATGGGGACAAGTCTGATCAACGTAGTTAAAATATCAACATAGTTAAAACAGACTACATCATAAAACAACAACATAACAGAGTATAAAAACAACCATCGAGCAACAACCAATGGCCTGAACGAGTAAGTAGTTTCTGGGCTCAGGTGGCGGGCTAGTGCAAATGTGTTGTGAGGACTAGGCTGGAAGATAAAAGTGCAAAAGAATTAGATATAGGGCAATATGACACAGAACATTATATCTCTGGGTAGGGAACAGCAGTAAAGTGCAAGGACTTGATTTTGAATCGTAGCTGGGGCCAAAATTAGCACAGTCGAACATCCATGTCTTTAGAACTTTACGGAAGGTAATTTATATACGGAAGGTAAATACTACATAATAATAAAATTAAAAGGAGCCATAGCCAGAAAATGGCCTACAGACCTGTGAAATTTGCATTTTCTCTTCTACGGTAATAGGTGAGGAATACTTTATTCCAAACCTTTTTGGCTAAAAATGTTTTTTGTAGTGGATTGCTCTATTCAGTTCCTGCCTTGAAACAACCTCCCCCTCTTCTGGTCCATGAGGAAACAAGTACCCAGGGAACTCCCTACCACTCTTGAAAGATATCAAGGAGCAGACTGGTAGAATGTGTTTGTGCCTGCTTTCATCTGGTCAGAAACTGTTGGCTGTATTGTACTTATGTGAGTTGGGATTTCAGCAATACTCTGTCCAAGCAATAGTACCTCCTAGTGGTGATGGGGAAAATAATAAGGATGAAAGAAGTTAAGGACAACCTGCCCCCTCTCTTTCTTTCTTTCTATAGTTACCTGTAGAGTGTCAAACTCAGCCTTATGGTTGCCTTTCAAGTGCCGTTGAATCTACAGATGGAGAATCCATGGATACAGAGGGCCAACTGATTTTTTTTACATATAGTGGTCAGTGCTATTATGTTTCTAATCTACCCAGTTTGGGTCCCCAGATGTTATTGAACAACAATTCCCATCACTTTTGAGTTTGACACATGTGCTCTGGAGTATGTAGTTAGGCTAGTGAGGATCAGCACCCCCTTTACTTGATCAGTAATCGGGGGCTTTTCATAAAGGTTGCATTTTTGCCACTGGTGTACTTTGTTCCTTGAGTGGCATCTGCTGTGGGTTTCCTCTGCTAACAATGTGAAGGGGAAAAAACGGTTGCCCCACAGAGATATTGGTTTCTTCCTAAGTCCCTTCTACACAGCTGTAAAAAGCTAGATTATCTGCTTTGAACTGGATTATATGGCAGTTCAAAGCATATAATCCAGTTCAGACTCAGGTAATCCAGATCCCTTTCACACAGCAAAATAAAATCCCACATTTATTTATTTGTTTATTATTTATTTACTATATTTCTACCCTGCTCTTCTCGCCCCACAGCGGACTCAATGCAGCTTACAGCTGGACCACTTCAGTGCCACATTGCAAATACACAGTGTGTGTGTGTGTGTGTGTGTGTGTGTGTGTGTGTGTGTGTATGTATATATGTCGTGTCAGGAGTGACTTGAGAAATTCAAGTCGCTTCTGGTGTGAGAGAATTGTCCGTCTGCAAGGACGTTGCCCAGGGGACACCCGGATGATTTGATGTTTTTATCATTCTTGTGGGAGGCTTCTCTCAAGTCCCCACATGAGGAGCTGGAGTTGATAGAGGGAGCTCATCCGCCTCTCCCCAGATTTGAACCTGCGACCTGTCAGTCTTCAGTCATGCCGACACAGGGGGTTAATCCACTGCGCCACCGGGGACTCCTAGTATATAAATATAATACAATACAAATCAAAGCACGTTTAACATAAAATGCAAGACAAAAATCACACAAAACATAATAAGGTCCAGAAATAAGATATACATATTAAGCATTAAAAACATTTAAAATCAATTGCAATTATTGTGGAGATTCATCAATTAAATAGTATATTTCGCTAAGATCAATCATCAGTGATAAACATGAGCCAGCAAGAAAATTAAGAAAAGTCTCCAGAAAACAAATAAATAAAAATAAAATAAAATCTGAAAACAAAAACAAAAAAGTCCCGACTAAAGCCAAAGAGGGATAGTGGCAAAAGCTGAGAGTCGGCAGAGAAGTCAACAGCCCCAAGCCAAGCAAAACCTGGTTTCAGTACTAAGTTGATGGTCAAAGGGGGGAGACCATAGGCATTCAGTAGAATGCTAATCATTTATTTATTTATTTCTTTGCTATACTTGTATACCGCCGTTTCTCAGCCTAGCCGGCGACTCAACGCGGTTTACAACAACTTATAACAAACAACAGTATACAGTTTAAAAGCATAAAAACACAATCCACAGTACATATATCAATAAACAATCCAATTCATCTCTTGACTAAAATCGCGATCCAGTGTCGTCGTCCAAATTGCCAGTCCTTCAATCATTACACTTATTGCACTGAGTTAACCGAACGCCTGCTCGAACATCCAAGTTTTTAGTCTTTTCCGGAATACCATCAATGAGGGGGCTGATCTTACCTCCATGGGGAGGGCGTTCCATAGCCGCGGGGCCACCACAGAAAAGGCCCTGTCTCTCGTCCCCGCCAGCCGCACCTGTGAAGCAGGCGGGATAGAGAGCAGGGCCCCCCAGAAGATCTTAGGGTCCTGGTGGGCTGATAGGCCGAGATACGTTCGGATAGGTAAGTTGGGCCAGAACCGTTTAGGGCTTTAAAGGCCAACGCCAGCACTTTGAATTGAGCCCGGTAGCAGATCGGCAGCCAGTGGAGCTGGTGCAGCAGAGGAGTTGTATGCTCCCTGCGCTCCGCTCCAGTTAGTATCATGGCTGCCGAGCGTTGGACTAATTGGAGCTTCCGGGCCGTCTTCAAAGGCAACCCCACGTATTTTTAATCCCACGCGATTTTAATCAGACGAGCAGCCGATGGAAAAGGCCGCTCTGGAGCAGTTAAAGATGGCAGAAGGGTCTCTCGCTGCTGTTGGAGGAGGGTACCTGGTAGGGAGGCAGGCTCCCACACAGAGGCTGGTAGAATGGCAGTTAACGGCGGGTGAGTCTCTCAGTGACTGTTAAGAGAATACCTGGTTAGTAGACTGGCTCCCTCCTGCCTAGTGACCTTTGGAATGGGAGTTAAAGATGGCAATCTGGGTTAGTAGAGGCCTAGGACACAACGGAGCCATGGCTGCAAGGTCTATCCAACAGTGGAGTTCTCTGCTTGTATTTTCTATTTGAAACACAACAAGATGAGTCCACAGCAGACAAGATCACTTTGCTGGCTGTTGTATTGGATCACACCTCGGACACTTCCCAAGTGTCTAGGACTGTGTGATGTATTGGTGAATAATGCGTGCAGGTTCCCGTAAGGTGGCTTTCTACAACTGGCAGATGGTAATTTTGTCAGTGCCAATTGTGTTTAAGTGCAGGCCAAGGTCTTTAGGCACTGCACACAGTGTGCCGATCACCACTGGGACTACCTTTACTGGCTGGTGCCACAGTCTTTGCAGTTCGATCTTTAGATCCTCATATTGTGTCAGCGTTTCCAGTTGTTTCTCTTCAATCCTGCTGCCACCTGGGATTGTAATTATTAGGTTCTTGTGGGTTTTTTTGGGCTATAGGGCCATGTTCTAGAGGCATTTCTCCTGACGTTTCGCCTGCATCTATGGCAAGCATCCTGAGGTACTGAGGTCTGTTCCAAAAAACCCCACAAGAACAGGGGTCCTCAAACTAAGGCCCAGGGGCCGAATGTGGCCCTCCAAGGTCATTTACCTGGCCCTCGCTCAGGGTCAAACTAAGTCTGAAATGACTTGAAAGCACACAATAACAACAACAACAACAACCCTATGTCATCAGCCAAAAGACCCATACTTTCCATTGAAATACTAATAATTTTATATTTGTTGAAATTGTTCTTCATTTTAATTATTGTATTGTTTTAAGTGTTTTTTGCACTACAGATATGATATGTACAGTGTGCATAGGAATTCTTTCATATATTTTTTCAAATTATAATCCGGCCCTCCAACAGTTTGAGGGTCTGTGACCTGGCCCTCTGTTTGAAAAGTTTGAGGACCCCTGCACAAGAACCTAGTGATTCCAGCCATGAAAGCCTTCGACAATACATTGTAATTATCATCATCATCATCATCATCATCATCATCATCATCATCATCATTATATTTATACGTTACTGTATCTCTCCGTAAGAAATGGAGACTCTGAAGCAGGCTTGGGCCAAATTGGGCCCGCCCTTCAGGAGTTTTGGACGTTAATTCCCACAATAGACCACACCTGGAATATTGTGTCCAATTCTGGGCACCACAATTCAAGAGAGATACTGACAAGCTGGAATGTGTCCAGAGGAGAGCTACTAAAATGATCAAGGGTCTGGAGAACAAGCCCTACGAAGAGCGGCTTAAGGAGCTGGGCATGTTTAGCCTGAAGAAGAGAAGGCTGAGAGGAGATATGATAGCCATGTATAAATATGTGAGAGGAAGCCACAGAGAGGAGGGAGCAAGCTTGTTTTCTGCTTCCCTGGAGACTAGGACGCAATGGAACAATGGCTTCAAACTACAAGAGAGGAGATTCCATCTGAACACGAGGAAGAACTTCCCGACTGTGAGAGCCGTTCAGCAGTGGAACTCTCTGCCCCGGAGTGTGGTGGAGGCTCCTTCTTTGGAAGCTTTTAAACAGAAGCTGGATGGCCATCTGTCAGGGGTGATTTAAATGCAATATTCCTGCTTCTTGGCAGAATGGGGTTGGACTGGATGGCCCATGAGGTCTCTTCCAACTCTAGGATTCTATGAATTCCTAACAGCCAGTAGTTGAAGTCGAAAACTCCTGGAGGGCGGGCCCAAGTTGGCCCAGGCCTGCTGGAGCTTGCTGGGCCTGAACTGGAGCTTGAAAGGGCTGCTTCAGTCACAGGGAGGGAGAGAAAGGGGAGGGCCCAGCAGCGCCTTCGTCGTACTCTCCTCCCCAAAAACATTCCCTCTTCGCGCTCAGGAAAGGCGTGGAGGCCGGGGATGGCGGCGGATGGCTGCTAGGCCCGTTGCCATGGAGACTGAGCAGTACTGCAGGGCCCAAGCGAGGCCTTCTTTGCCTTGGAAGGAGAGGAGCAGGGAAGGAAAGAAGGAAGGAAGGAAGGCCCAGCGGGGGCTCAGGAGGAAGGCTGGGTGGGTCAGAGGCATTACTGTGATTTATTATTATTGTTGTGTTCTCCAGGCCTAGTAGCCGTGTTAAAGATGTGGAAGGAAGGGGGAATGAGCAGGAAAGGGAAGGATTTCCGTTTTGAAAAATCCTCCCCACTCCTGGCACTACACACAGCTTTTATTGACAGAAGAAATGAGAAACTCTTAACTCTTTTTTGGACATTAAATTGATTTTTTAAAAATTCAAGAGCACAATATCTTTGAATGGTTTTCCACTGTGAATATATTAAATACTGTTTATATGTGTTTGTTTATTTATTTCATTTTTGCATTTTATTTCATTTTCACACTTTTCTACCATAACCATAGGACAAAAGGCCAAGGAAAATATAATAAACTAGCTGTCCCCTGCCACGCGTTGCTGTGGCCCAGTCTGTTGATCTGGAAAATAATGAGAAAGTGTTGTTCTAATATATGTAATTTCTTTATGCTTGTGTGTAAACAGTATTTCTTGCTGTTTCTTTGTCAGTGTTGATGTGGAGAGTGTCTGGTTTGCCCACCCTGGAACATTCAAGATATCATTGTCCATCTTTAAGGGTCCCTTTCAAATCTATGATACTTGTTTTTCAGGAGGGCTTTGATTATGTTTTCTTTCCCTGCTGAAGGGAGCTGGACTGGATGGCCTTAAGTATTTTCTGATAGTCATGGGAGTTCTGTTTGGGAAGTTTGCCCCAATTCCGTTGTTGGTGGGGTTCAGAATGCTCTGATTGTGGGTGAACTATTTTATTTATTTACTAGCTTGAGGACCCGGCGTTGCCCGGGTTATTAGAGAACGTGGGTAATGGCGGTTCTGTATGCCAAGTTTGGTCTTTATTGGTCTTTGGATAATGGCAGCATTATTTTCAGGAAGTGAGTGAAGGTACTTGAAGTCCCATCATCCATGGGCCATCCTCCTACAAACAGCAGCAGGATATAGAGTGGGTCATGGGGGCTCTGTGTGCCAAGTTTGGTCTTTATCAGTCATTAGATGAGGGTGGCAGTGGTGTCAGTAAGTGAGTGAAGGTACTGCAAGTCCCATCATCCAAAGTCCATCCCCTTTCAAACTGCAGCAGGATGTAGAGGGGATCATGGGGGCTCTGTGTGCCAAGTGTGGTCTTGATTGGTCATTAGAAGAGGGTTGCAGCAATCTTTGGAAGGGAGTGGAGGTACTTGAAGTCCCATCATCCATGGTCTGTCCTCCTCCAAACTGCAGCAGGATGTAGAGTGGGTCATTGGAGCTCCATGTGGCCAAGTGTAGTCTTGATTAGTCATTGGCGAGGGTCTCAGTGGTCTCAGGAAGTGAGGAAAGGTACTGCAAGTCCCATCATCCATCTCCAAAGTTTTCCAAACAACACCAGGACGTAAAGTGGATCATGAGAAGTCTATGTGCCAAGTTTGGTCTTGATCCGTCATTGGATGAGGTTTGCAGAGGTCTCAGAATGTGAGTGAAGGTACTGGAAGTTCCATCATCCATGGTCCACCTTCTCCAAAACTGCAGCAGGATGTAGAGTGGGTCATGGGGGCTCTGTGTGCCAACTTTGGTCTTGATTGGTCATTAGATGAGTTTTGCAGCAGTCTTGGGTAGTGGAGGTACTTGAAGTCCCATCATCCATGGTCTGTCGTCCTCCAAACTGCTCCAGGATGTAGAGTGGGTCATTGAAGCTCCATGTGCCAAGTTTGGTCTTGATGAGTCATTGGCGAGGGTCTCAGTGGTCTCTGGAAGTGAGTGAAGTGACTGGAAGTCCCATCATCCATTATCAAATTCTTCCAAACCACACCAGGATGTAGAGTGAGTCATGCTGGGTGTCTGTGTAAATTGTGATCCTGATCCATCATCGTTGGCAGTTGTAATGGTCTTAGGAAGGGAGTGCAGGTATTGCAAGTCCCATCGTCCATGGTGCATCCTCCTCAAACTGCACCAGGATGTAGAGTGCGTCATGGAGACTCAGTGTGCCAAGTTTGGTCTTTATCGGTAATTGGATGAGGGTTGCAGTGGTCTCAAGAATTGAGCAATGGTACTGCAAGTCCCATAATCCACGGTCCATCCCCGGCCAAACCACACCAGGACGTAAAGTGGGTCATGAGAGGTCTCTGTGCGAAGTTTGGTCCTGATCAGTCATTGGATAAGGTTAACAGCGGTCTCAGAATGTGAGTGGTGGTACTGCAAGTCACATCATCCATGGTTCATAGTCCTCCAAACTGCAGTAGGATGTAGAGTGGGTGATGGGGGCTCTGTGTGCCAGTTTCGGTCTGTATTGGGAGTGTTCTGACCCAGCCCTTTTTTGGCCTTTTCCTTTTCTGTCATCTCGGAATCTTGGATTTGAGGCTGGCCAATCAGAGACCATATGCAAATTTCCTTCTGTCATGCCCCGTTTCTGCCATGAACCCTCTTCTCCACCAGGGGCTCCTATTGAAGCTGGCCAATCAGAGACCATATGCAAATAGCACCACAGCGGCAGCCAATCAGAACGCTGCCACATACACCGCCCTTCCTCTGTCCGATACAAACACTCTTCTTTATTATATAACTAGCTTGGGGACCCGGCGTTGCCCGGGTTATTAGAGAAAGTGGGTAATGGCGGTTCTGTATGCCAAGTTTGGTCTTAATTGGTCATTGGATAACGGCTGCATTGTTTTCAGGAAGTGAGTGAAGGTACTTGAAGTCCCATCATCCATGGGCCATCCTCCTACAAACAGCAGCAGGATATAGAGTGGGTCATGGGGGCTCTGTGTGCCAAGTTTGGTCTTTATCAGTCATTAGATAAGGGTGGCAGTGGTGTCAGTAAGTGAGTGAAGGTACTGCAAGTCCCATCATCCAAAGGCCATCCTCTTTCAAAGAGCAGCAGAATGTAGAGTGGATCATGGGGGCTCTGTGTGCCAAGTTTGGTCTTGATTGGTCATTAGAAGAGGGTTGCAGCAATCTTTGGAAGGGAGTGGAGGTACTTGAAGTCCCATCATCCATGGTCTGTCCTCCTCCAAACTGCACCAGGATGTAGAGGGGTCATTGGAGCTCCATGTGCCAAGTTTAGTCTAGATTAGTCATTGGCGAGGGTCTCAGTGGTCTCAGGAAGTGAGCAAAGGTACTGCAAGTCCCATCATCCATCTCCAATTTTTTTCCAAACAACACCAGGACGTAACGTGGGTCATGAGAGGTCTATGTGCCAAGTTTGGTCTTGATCCATCATTGGATGAAGTTTGCAGAGGTCTCAGAAAGTGAGTGAAGGTACTGGAAGTTCCATCATCCATGGTCCACCCTTCTCCAAAACTGCAGCAGGATGTAGAGTGGGTCATGGGGGCTCTGTGTGCCAACTTTTGTCTTGATTGGTCATTAGATGAGTTTTGCAGCAGTCTTGGGGAGTGGAGGTACTTGAAGTCCCATCATCCATGGTCTGTCCTCCTCCAAACTGCACCAGGATGTTGAGTGGGTCATTGAAGCTCCATGTGCCAAGTTTAGTCTTGATTAGTCATTGGCGTGGGTCTCAGTGGTCTCAGGAAGTGAGTGAAGTGACTGCAAGTCCCATCATCCATTGTCAAATTCTTCCAAACCGCACCAGGATGTAGAGTGGGTCATGCTGGGTCTCTGTGTAAATTGTGGTCCTGATCCATCATTGTTGGCAGTTGTAATGGTCTTAGGAAGGGAGTGCAGGTATTGCAAGTCCCATCGTCCATGGTGCATCCTCCGTCAAACTGCACCTGGATGTAGAGTGCGTCATGGAGACTCAGTGTGCCAAGTTTGGTCTTTATCGATAATTGGATGAGCGTTGCAGTGGTCTCAGGAATTGGGGAAAAGTACTGCAAGTCCCATAATCCATGGTCTATCCCCAGCCAAACACACACCAGGACGTAAAGAGGGTCATGAGAGGTCTCTGTGCGAAGTTTGGTCCTGATCAGACACTGGATGAGGTTAACAGCGGTCTCAGAATGTGAGTGGTGGTACTGCAAGTCCCATCATCCATGGTTCATAGTCCTCCAAACTGCAGTAGGATGTCGAGTGGGTGATGGGGGCTCTGTGTGCCTATTTCGATCTGTATTGGGAGTGTTCTGACCCAGGCCCCGGCCTTTCCTTTCCTCTCTTTCTCATCTCGGAATGTTGGATTTGAGGCTGGCCAATCAGAGACCATATGCAAATTTCCTTCTGTCATGCCCCGTTTCTGCCATGAACCCTCTTCTCCACCAGGGGCTCCTATTGAAGCTGCCCAATCAGAGACCATATGCAAATAGCACCACAGCGGCAGCCAATCAGAACGCTGCCACATACACCGCCCTCCACAATTCCTCTGTCCGATACAAACACTCTTCTTTATTATATACTAGCTTGGGGACCCGGCGTTGCCCGGGTTATTAGAGAAAGTGGGTAATGGCGGTTCTGTATGCCAAGTTTGGTCTTTATTGGTCTTTGGATAACGGCTGCATTATTTTCAGGAAGTGAGTGAAGGTACTTGAAGTCCCATCATCCATGGGCCATCCTCCTACAAACAGCAGCAGGATATAGAGTGGGTCATGGGGGCTCTGTGTGCCAAGTTTGGTCTTTATCAGTCATTAGATGAGGGTGGCAGTGGTGTCAGTAAGTGAGTGAAGGTAGTGCAAGTCCCATCATCCAAAGTCCATCCCCTTTCAAATTGCAGCAGGATGTAGAGTGGATCATGGGGGCTATGTGTGCCAAGTGTGGTCTTGATTGGTCATTAGAAGAGGGTTGCAGCAATCTTTGGAAGGGAGTGGAGGTACTTGAAGTCCCATCATCCATGGTCTGTCCTCCTCCAAACTGCAGCAGGATGTAGAGTGGGTCATTGGAGCTCCATGTGCCAAGTGTAGTCTTGATTAGTCATTGGCGAGGGTCTCAGTGGTCTCAGGAAGTGAGCAAAGGTACTGCAAGTCCCATCATCCATCTCCAAAGTTTTCCAAACAACACCAGGATGTAAAGTGGGTAATGAGAGGTCTATGTGCGAAGTTTAGTCTTGATCCGTCATTGGATGAGGTTTGCAGAG